TAGTAATACCCCCTCAGGTTCCACTGCTAAGGTGTCTGAGTTTTGAACATGTTGGTATGTATTTTTATAGCCATAGCATGTCTCAAAGGCAGGGTCACTGTTCTGAAATGTCAAACTCTTTTGACATTTCAGAATAACTCTGAAAAGGCTTCCTAAAAGGAATAAATGGAGGCAGGGAGAGAGGACGCAAAAGAGACAATGATAACAGGGGAAGGGAGACAGGATGGACACAAGAGGACAGGTGACATATAACTGGACAGGGCATTGATACACAGAAAAAACCAGTAGCTGTTTTCTTAATACAAGCTGAGGTACTTGTTTTAACCCTATGTCACTTAGAGCTGAGATGACAGCCTGCTGTCAAATTAAGGTTTAGCAAGCCCTCTCCTATCCTAGCTCTGACTTCAACATGTATCAGTTTGCCATGTGGCCCTGACCTTCAGCTGAGCCATGAAGGGGAGACAGTCTTTGCCAAATATGTTCCATTCGATGGCTCTTGAAAGAGGCTGAAACAAACATACCTCAAAACCTGTCCCATTTCTACTACCATAGCTTTGGGTCAAGCCAGTTGTTTCATAGAAGTGCTTGTTTCTTCTAGATCCTAATCACTGACTGAATGCCCACCTCAAATGGGAAGGGTCTTCAGGAGCATTGCATCCATCCCACAGAAGACATTCTCCAAGAACTTCTCCCATGTGAATCCTTCTCACAGTCTGCAGTCTGTCATGAATGCTTCAGCATGGGCCCCTTTCATGGGGTGCAGTCCTTCTGGAATGGGCTGCTCCAGTGCGGGTTCCCCATGGGGTCACAAGTCCTGTCAGCAAACCTGCTACAGCACTGGCTCCTCTCTCCATGAGCTCACAGGTCCTGTCAGAAGCCTCCTCCAGCACAGGTTTCCCATGGGGTCACAGCTTCTTTGGGGCGTCCACCTGGTCCAGTGTGGGGTTGTCTGTGGGCAGCAAGTGGATTTCTACTCCACCACGGATCTCCAAGGGCTGCAGGGACACAGCTGCCTGATGATGGTCTGCACCACAGGCTGCAGGGGAATCTCTGCTTTACTGCCTGGAACATCTCCTCCTTGTCCTTCCTTGCTGCCCCTGTATTTCCAGAGATGTTTCCTCTCTTCATCTGCTGTTTCTGCTGCATTTTTTATCTCTTCTTAAATATGTTATTCCAGAGCTGTTTGGCTCAGTTTGGCCAGTGGTGGGTTGGTCTTGGAGTTGTCTGGCATTGGCTCGGTTGGACATGGGGGAAGTTTCTGGCAGCTTCTCACGGAGTCCATCCCTGAAGTCCTGTCCCCTTCTCCTTGCTACCAAAACCTTGCCACACAACCCAATATAGCTGACTGATATCTGCTCCAGTTCAGATCAATCTTCTGTTCAATAACTCTCTTGTTAAGTAAAGTAGTATACATTTTTATACATGAGGTGATATAACTTTCATAAAAATTGCTATTTGTAATGCTTTTTTGGAATAAAACATGAAAAATTCTAGCCCAGGAATATCAACCTTTAGAAATACTTCACATGCATTTTTTCCTGTCAAAACTGAGATTTTCATGAAGAGCATCTCAATGGCTAAAAATAGATTTGAAAAATTATCCATCAAAAAAATTTCCAACAATTCTTGGCACAATCTTTGTTTTAAACAGGGCATCCTACAACATAAATTTGTTCATATCTTCATAGTTGCAAACATTAATAAAATGCCCTTGTCTTACATTTTGACTTGTCAAAAATTACATTGACCTGAATAATTCCTGCTTCTAAATTTAAAAATGCTTAAAATTTACATGTAACAAACTTTAGGGTGAACTAGTTATAGCTGTTTTATATACCACTTTTGAAAAATCCATACAATCTGAATTACTTCAAAGAACAAAAAATGATCTCTTAGTTATATATTTTATTTAAGGCACATACATCTCATTCTACATTTTCTCCCCAGAATAATTCTTCTAATTTAGACAAAAAGTGAATAATAAAACAAAAATCCCTAGACTTAAATTTCTTTGGGGTTCACCTGTAAAAAGTTTTAAAGGGTACTATCTACACCTAGAATCTGCTATCTATTAAAAATTAGTGTATGTTCATATATAATCACAACAAGAAGTAAAACTATGTATTAAAGTACAAGATAATAACATCTTTTAACAGTACATCTTCTGCTATATAAAGCTTGATAACATAGCTTATTATTTATTCCAGTATGAAGTTCTAAAAACAAAACAGGAACAGCTCTTCCCTCACATTGTTTTAAAGATAAGCAGACTGAACTACCTGTGTCACAGTGGAAAAGGGGAGGGTTTGTAGATATTTTGCAAAATGGAGGAAGCATATATGAATATAAGAAAATGGCAAATGCTTTTTATATAGCATAAATAATAAAGAGAGACACTAATTTCTCTCCTTAGAAACAGCAGCTAAATAGCATTTGCAGGTGATACAAACTATTTCCACAGTTTATAAAAATATCTGCAAGTCTAATCTTTCTTCCTGTCCTTTGGTAGCCCTCCATGAATTGCAGCAAAGCACTGACTTTGAAAAAGAATTCCAGCAGGCTTACCAGGTCTTCCCATTTGATTCTCTTTTCCCCAGACCACAGTGAACCACTCTTATATTGATCTTTTGGCTGCTCCCTCACAGTGTGAAATGCATTTGCATTGTACTTTTGGAAGTTGCACTCTGCGGTTCACTAAGGAGCTGTGAATTATGTCACCAACATGGAAGTTGTAGAACTTGATGATTCTTACTGTGATGTGGAATATGTGGAATGTCAAATACTGATTTACATCATTATCATAAAGTTTTTCAGGTTATGGGCTGATACATGAGTATCATTATATCCGGTTACTGAGGCTGAAATTGCTGCAGGAGGAGGAAATAAAGTTATTTTCTTAAGTGAAACTAAGCAGAAAAATAAGTCGGTATAAACAATAGATGTAAAATGCATTGGAAGACAACAGGTATTTATTAAATACAAATAGCTTCTCAGCACTAGAAAGATAGAATACTCAGCAATGAAGGCTAGAGAGGAAGGTATGCACCTTTCTTTGTCTGGGCAAAGATATGTGTACCTTTTGCTTAATTTCTTGTTCTTTATCAGGATTTGGCTGCAAGAATCTAAATGCAGTTACAAAATGACAGAAGAAGACCAGCGAAATATGAGTGCTTTGAACATGGGCATTTTCAACATGCTCTTGGAGGGGACATATACATCTTTCTTTATATTTCATTAGACTAGTCAGCTCCCCAACATTCAGATGTTTTAACATTTCATAGCTTACAGAAATAAAATTGTTTAACTTTTATAAAAATCACAGAAACAAGGCTATGGAGTTAGGCACAAGGTTTGTTAATGATGAGCAAGAATACAAATGAAAGCAAAATCCTGAATGCACAGGTTATACCTGAAAGCTGCACATATATATGACAATATAATAGAATCAATTTTACATAAGGGTTTTCATCCACAGTAAGAAATTATTGCATTGACCTGTGGTGATACCACAGTGATTTTAAAGGCCCAGAGTACATTCAAAGTCTAAGAAGGAGACCAATAACTTATTTCAGTGTTTCTAGGACAAATTTATAGTAAATGGCAAGGAGGGATTTAAGAGAAGTCTTAAGTGACATAGCTGACACCTAGCCAATGACTGGGACACTGGGTTTGTGGTCATGTAAGCTATTTGAACAGTCTTTAATTCCACTGGAAAACATTTATCTTTACTTATTAATTGAAAGGGATAAATCATAAAGACAACAAAAATATTTTTCATGAGATTTCATTAGACTGAGTACCTGTCTTGAAAATTACTGTTTAAAAGTCTCCAGGACTGGATGAAAAATTAAGTGTGTTATGTCAAACATATGTGAAATAACTTGCATTTTTCTTTTAGACTTATTTAAAAGGGATCAAAATTCAGATTGTCTGTTTTACATCAAATTAGGCACTTTGAAATCTACTGTCATTCCAATTCACTAGTGGGCAGATGGCTGCTGTGAGTAAACTGTGCCACATTCATTGAGACTGGACTGATGCCATGTATTTGTGATCCATAATTTTGAGAATTTCTGAAAGGATACCAGTGCTATACAAATGTCTATGTATGTTTCATGAATGAGCAGTCTGAATCCTTTTTACATTTCAATAACATGCTAAAGGCAATAGTGCATAAGTTGACCTCCATATTCATATGGTATCACTCAGAAAAAAATCTTGTCATTATACGGTATTTTGTAAATAGTATTATTTTCTAGTTAGGATACTATGACTAAAATAATTGATTACATCAATGCAAAACTTAATTGTTACTATCTGTGCTTCAAAGGAACATAGTAAAATTGCCTACTTTTACTGTCTTTCACCTGGCTCATCTATGAAACTGCAAATGTGATACTTTTTAATTCAGAGGGATTTAAATTAATCTCAAATATCCACAAAATAACATTTCACTTATACTAATGTCCTGGTGAGTATAAATGAGATTTTTACTTTAAATGATAAATGAGATTGTTACTTTAAATATGCCACAAAATCCAGCATTGTGAAGGTTACGTGAAAGGCATGGAAGGTCAAAAGAGGTTGTCAAAGTGCAAAAATGAACTTTTCCTTCTCTGCTACAGCTTCTCCTTGTTACTCTTTAAGCACTGTGGGCCAGTTGTTGAGTAGCAGCACCACTGCTGTTTTCAATATCCCCCACTTTTCTTGTGTTTATGGATTTGAGGTCAGTCTTCTGTATCACTTAGGTAGTAAGTGACTGCAAAGTGCCTAGGATGCCACCCATGATAGAAGACAGTAGAGGTGATTTAGTTTCTGAAAGGCAATAGCAAGTCTAGCAGATATTATTGACCAAGGCTGTTGAGATAGCTGGCCATAGCCTGCCTCAACATCTAACTACTGAAATAAAAGGCAGTGGCAGCAGCAGAATACACGCAGCTTTAGAGTGACAGAAGCCAAAGAAGGAAGCAAAACTAAGAGACAGCAACAGTAAGACAAAGTACATATAAACTTTTAATGAATTAACCTTACAAAAGACAATAGCTTCAAAACATTTGACACGCTTGTACAAAACTATTCCAGAATTGTTAGTTCTCTCTTCAGAAAGAATGCCAGCAAACCACCCAACATGTCCCTGGCTATGAGATGCAACTGGTGATCACATCCAAATCATGTGTGGACAGAGTAAACTTATTTACAATACTGTATAATTTAATACCAGATTAGTGAATGCTATTGGGGAGTGACTGTATATTCCAGTAAACACCATGCATCAGGAAATAGTATGCACCCCTAGCTTATTGCCTTTTTTCCCCGCATTTGTCACTAACACTTCCCTTTAGTCCTTTCAGGATGCATTACCTCCTTTTGATTCCTATTCCTTCTTTTCTTGTCTTTGAATAACAGTGCAAGTAGGAGTACAATCTTCCAGTCCTATAGCGTACATCACAACTGTCCTTGAACATAGAAATATCAAGGTGCAAAATGATGGCTCATGGGACTATTCTGCAGCCTTATTAAAATAAGTGCCACATACCAGAAAATAGCACGCATGTTAAGGGCCAAAATGTAGTTAAAAAGTGCGTGATACTTTCCTGAAAATATGGTATTGATGACACATACAAGCATCTTCAAGATGCCATGTTCCCTTGTGAAAGGGATCTTGTCATTTCTGTATGTACAAAGTATGTCTTCAGTTCTCCTTTTCCTTTTACATTTATTATTCCTCTGCAGGTGCTCATGTATCCCAGTGTTTGCAGGACGTTGTTTGTCTCCTCTGTAACCTGCAACAATACAGTAATACAACCAGTGTTGGTAACAAAGTAGAGCAGAATCTTCTTCCAGAGTGTGAAGAGAACATAATGTTCTCTTCACCTTTAAGGGGTTTGCTGTAATGCTCATAAGGCCTTTAAGCGTCTCAGGTGAGGTCTGAACAGCTAAGCTTTAAAGCAGTCTGTTGCTGGATGCTCATTCTAATCACTTACATCAAGTATCAAATTTGGTATAACCACATCTGTACCCAGGGTTGCCAGCAGAGAGCTTGTAGATAGATAAATGGAACTAGGGACAATACACTTCCTCACATAGTACTTTCGTCATCTTCAGGAGCTTATTTTCACTTGAGTAGACCCAAGCTTCCCCATCATTCTACAACTGCTAAGGCTGTGTAAATGAAGTGATAGTAAGATAATGGTAGCATTACCTTTCAGAGCTGCTGTTGCCAGTTACTCACATAACTGTCTGTGAACCAAACTTTAAGCCATTCTGCTATTTTAGGTAAAAGCCCACTAGCACAAAATCAAGGCTTACCTGTATTTTATCTAAGACACCAGTGCTGTCCATCCTGCTGGCCACATTTACTGTATTGCCCCATATATCATATTGTGGTTTTTGAGCTCCAATTACTCCAGCTATTACAGGCCCATGGTTTATACCTGGAAAACATCAGAACTCAACATTAGCAATGAAGAGAAAGGCAACAAAGCTGGTGAAGGCCCTGTAGTACAAGTCCTGGGAGGAGCCTCTGAAGTAGCTGGGGTTGTTTAGCCTTGAGAAAAGAGGGTTCAGGGGAAACCTTATCACTCCCGACAACTATCTGAAAAGAGGCTGTAGGTAGGTGGGGGTTGGTCTCTTCTCCCAGGCAACCAATGACAGTATAAGATAACAGTCTCAAGCTGTGCCAGGGGAGATTTAGGTGATCATTAGGAGGAACTGCTTCACATTCAAGTGTGACTAGACATTGGAATGGGCTGCCCAAGGAGGTGGTGGAGTTATTGTCCCTGGAGGTGTTAAAGAAAAGACTGGATGTAGCATTTGATGCCATGGTCTAGTTGATATGGGGATGTTCAGTCATAGGTCAGACTTGATCATCTCAGAGGTCTTTTCAAACTTAACTGATTCTGTGATTCTGTGAAGATCCACCAAACAAGGACATACAGTGCATCTGGCATATAGCAAGTCAATGAACACAGCATTTATTGCTGGATAGTGAGTACAGCAGCAAACAGTCATTCATCATGATTTTATCAACCATTTATGTTAGGAGAATGTTAGTTATAAAAATGCCATAAGTCAGTTAATCTAATTTTAGTTTTACAGCTCCCTTCCATCCTGAGTAACTTGCTATTTTCAACCACTGGCATCCTAATAATAACCTGCTGCTGCCTTTATTATGTAGCATGGAACCACACTGTGGGTGAGCAGCAGCTTCTGAGAAAACAGATATACAAGAATTTCTTTTAATTTCTACTTGTAGTGAAAAGGGCCTCCCCTCTGCAATGGTTGACAGCCCAATCAAGTTACTTTTATAGTATTCTTTGCTTCTTAAATGTAAAAGAAACTAAAGCGAATGAGCTGAAAGAATTTGAAGCCTTGTTCTGAAGGCTGGATTGACCATAGAATTGTCCTAAAGATCTGCAATATAAATATATGTATTCAAATAATTTGATTAAGCATGGAGTAGAACAATATGGTAGAACAATACAGTCCCTCCTTAGACTCTGGGCATTTTTTATCTTGCAGTCAGTTTGTAACCTATATTATGTCCGTAAAGGGAATGAGTTTTACTTTGCTAGTAAGTAAAGAAACCAGGAGGTAAAATCCAAAGTACTATGGATAACCAGCATCAAATGTACTATAATTGTAACTGTACATACCAATGAGCAGGTAAGCTAAGTTAGGCCTAGTGAGAAATAAACCCTGAACCAAGTGAGTTATTTGATTTATAAAATTATCTCAATGGATCATAACTGATTTCTGTTAGTTCCTTTACAAAAACCATCATTAGCGATATATATCTGTGCAGTCAAATGAAAATGTGATTGTAGGATGGACATGGATCTCAGAGTTGGCTCATCTACTATGTAACATGTCAGCGGAGGCTAGCAACAAGTCTATCAGCCCACTTGGAAATCCTGGAAAACTTGACTGTAGAAGTTAAATTGGGAAAAGATGCAAACACTACAAGATAACAAATGGAACCTGATATATGGTACTTTATAAGCTGGTTTGTACTGATAAATAAGAAATCCAGTTTGGTTCTGTAAACCGGGCCCTGGTCAGGAGCTGGGCTGTGGGAGGATCAGACCAATAGCTGTCTAGACTGAGGAGTCTTAAACTCCCTATATAAGAATACTGCCAACAATAAAAGAGGCTGTTTGTTGCAGGGAGCTTGGAGGTGTGTGTTGTCCCTGTCTCCAACCACCAACCCCATAGAACATGTGAATTATTAAACATAATAAATATATCTTTTTCTAAGTGCTCAGGGTTCAATGCACAAAGGGACTTGGGCTTTGCAACACTTTGCATTAACAACAGAACCATGGATGGGTTTTTTTACTTCATAACATACAACTTGCAGAAAACACTAGGCAACTAAGACTGGAATCCACAAAAGGCATCTGCGGGGTAGCCCAGTCTGGTTAGCAGGGAATATTGAAGAGATATGTGTGGCCATGGTCCAGGAACTGGGGAAGTGCAGTAGGACTTTCCTACAAAATACAATGGGCAGGAAGGGACTTTTATTTTTTACCTCCTTCCTGAACCACTGCTGTTGATGGCTTGAGAAATATCTTGGGGGCTCAGGAATCACCTTCAGATCCCTCCTCCTTTGTGGAAACTACTACCAGTATATCTTAGGGATGTGTTCTGGCCACCCAAGCATTGTGGGATATGCTGCTCTATGTCCTTCCTGCTGGTGATCCATCTTTTTTGCATGATGCACATGTACGTTTTTGGGGCGGCTGGAAGAGTAGTACTCTCACTACAGGTGAATGCTCTAACAGAGGGTGATATTATCTATCTCTTTCTCTCATATCCAAAGCAATAATTAATCATTCTATGAAATGCAACACTGTTCAGCAGGAATGACAGAGAATATCTCATTCTGAAGTATCCTACAGCCTGGCTCATGGCCTAGCCTCACCCAAAACCAGGAACCAAATTAAGTCACCTACAACACAGACAAATGTTCCAACTATGAAGTTATATGGAAAATAACACACCAGCCTCTCTTCTGAAAGAAAGCAATACCTGTGCAAAACTTGCTGCAAAAGCATATCTGAGCTTGTCTCATAAATCAAGCATCTCAACTTGTGGAAGGGGAGGAATGCCTAAAATGTCATCTAGATGCTTTCCTCCCCTTTTTTGCCCAGATCAAAGTAGTGTGTACCTCCTAAGTCACACTAGCATTTCAGGCACTCTCAGAAGATTATGAAAGATGAAACCTCTAATGAGTTGCAAAAAATTCAAACTTAGATGCTGGCCAAGGAAAGCTTTTACAAAGGACAGTTGGGTACAAATCCTTACAGGTGGGACTAGGTCAGAAGTAGTTCTAAAATGTTTCTGTGGCTATAAGTAGTATGGATACCAGAACATTTCATTATCAGGTGTTTGGAAGCGGAGAAGTGATCTGAAAATTAAGATCTCCATGGTGCCTATGTTGCATTATGGTGGCACAAATACCACTTTGGGGCCTGTGTTTCTTTTTAGAGTTAAAACATTTCTTCATTTCATGAAGCAAAGGAGTCTAAGTTCTCTGTAGTCTTTAGAAAGATTATTAAAAATCCAAAGTAAGTGTTTTGCTTTGCTTCATGGTCCTCACTTGAAAAGACCCAGCACTGCTTTAAGCAGTTTGCAGTTTGCACTCAACAGCTCTCTGTACTGAAGCTGCTGGTATGTGCAACGTCAGCTGTGGCCAGAGCCATCAAGTTCTGTAACTCTCTGAGAAGGAAGCGTACTTCTAATTTGCTTTGTCATTTTTAGCTCTAGCAAGGAATACAAAACATACTGACAAAGGAATGCCCTAAGAAGCTCGTTTCAAGTCAGAAGACAGGAAGTTTTGCCAGTGGGTGGCACTGTGAAATAGACGAGAGGAGCAGCCAAAAGGAAAAACAAGCGTTACAGTAAGAAAAAGACAAGACAGGAGAATAACAGTTGAAAATCAAATACTTCTGACACATTTACAGAATTTATGGGTATTCAGTATTTGTTTACTGTTTTCATTTCACACTTTCCACGTTACATATTACATTGTGAAACTGCTGTGTACTGCTATCAGGAAATAAACATTTTGGAACATATGGTTCTTGACCAGCTCTGAATTAATTTATTTTATCATTCTTTCTACTGCTTACTGCAGCTGTCCGTTTTTAAAAATACCAGTATGCACAGGAAGAAGCAATTAGAAACTGAAACATAAGGGATACCTCTTTCCAAGATAGATAACTAGTCATTTTTGCTCTTACATGAATAACAAAGGCAAATACTCTCCCTTGTGTAACAGTTCAAAGGAAAGAGTGCATTTTTGTGTGCTTGCTTGAATTTAGTACATGTAAAATATTTCAAACTCCAGCCTCACTTACCCATTATAGCTCTTGTCCTCTGAAAAACCATTTATATAATTTTGCAAAGCCCAGTCTAGAGTTTTCTTGTGTATTCTTTTTGTATTTGTAAACTTCCAAAAATGTATGGCTTATAACCTCTACAATAATTTTTGCAGAGTTACCATAAAACCATTCAGAGCCGTGTGAACACATTTTTTTCAACCATTCTTTAAATAGGAATACTGCCCTTTTCCAAGTCTAGCCTTGAAATACTCAAGGGGGGTGATGGCAATACCACATAGGCTGCTTTTTAACAGGGTAAAGATGATGCTGTTTACTATCATGGCCCTTTTGGTCAGTTCTACTACTACTTTAATCAGCTGGTACTTCACACTGAATTCTCCCCCTTGTCCATGATGCTCTCCTAAGAATCTTGTAATACTCACCTACTCGTAACTTGAAGTCATTGAATGAATGCTTGTTTATGACATCCAGTTTTGCCACCAAGGCAAATGCAAACTCCACCATGGTTCCTATATGCATATACTGTCGTTCAGGCTCCTGAATTCAAAAGACAAACAAACAGTGTAAAATCTCTTGTGAGCCTTGGTTGCTGTGAGAATACAACCAAAATATGCTGAACACTTGAAGACACTGAAGCCCTTAGGGATGTCCTAGTGTCAGCAGGCAACTGCACAGAAGTAATGTAGAAGGTGGTATCCTGTCCAGCATCAGTTAGATCAAACAATGGCCGAGAGATGGGACACGTTTCACTTGTGAACAACCAGGCAGTCTAGAGGTAATAGATCCAAACCATGCCTAATCTAACATTTTGATTGTCAAGTGACTGATTAGCCGCTGTCTAATCCCAGAGGCACTCAGTATCTATGTGTGCCTAGAATTTGTTAATTCATTTTCTCTAAGTGTCTGCTTCTATTGTATTCCCTTTTATAATAAATAATGCTTGTGGACAGCCCCACAGAGATTCTTCCACTGTTGCACAGCTCAGCACCCTTATAAAATGCTTAAGGTCCAGTGAAATTCACAATTTTAAGAATTCTTCCACTCATCTCATCTTGCAGATAAGCAGGTACATCTGAGAACATTTAACACAAGAGGAAGAGGGCAACCCCACTCTGCACTTTTATTTACAGAGCTTATACCACTTATAAAGGCTGTAGACTTAATCTCTCCTCATACATAACAAAGTAAACTTATTTTAAGTGCTGTTTTGAGTCCTTTCAGGCTGAGGAGAAAATCGATTTTGGTGTCCCACAGTCCAAGGTAGGATCCTGACAAGTGACTGATTTTATAAGATATGGACTCATTGATCTCTATGAGAAATTACTGAATCTTCCCTATTTCTTGAGATAAAGGGACAGAAGAGATGGACAGATGACAGCTTCAGAGATGATTCACGGAGTGCGTGCATCAGCCTAGGGTGGGACAGTAGTGGTGCTTGCCGGAGCAGCTGTTTAGATAAATGAAGCCTGTTTCCTTTGGAATTCACTCCTAGCTAAAACAGATGGTTTCCTGTTCAGCTGATACATTCAGACCCCTTACTTAGGCACTTAGTCTTCCTTGGATGCTTGTTTTAAGCTGGGGGTGGTTCCCAGCAGTATGTCTAGCAGTCAGTCACTGCCACACTAGGTACTGCAGGATCTGTGCATCTTTGGGAATGTGGAATGAAGGCTGCTGAGTTCTGGTGGATTTCTTTGGAGAATGTGAACGAAATCACCAAAGGAATGGTAAACTGTGGATCTCCTGATCGTGGAAATAACTCAAATGATAAATTTCTTCCTCTGCATACACCAGATTTAGTTGTGATTTAGACCTCTCTATGTCTTCCATCTTCGGACTGCAGTTCTACATTTTCTTCATCCCCTTCACCTCCCTGCACTAAATGTCAGAGCTAATTTAAAATAATTCTTTGTCCTCAGGATCCTTAGGGTCTATAGTTCATGTGTAATTGCTTGTGTTTAGAAGAAACATGAGTTTGGCAAGAGCAGATTAATCCTTAGCAGAGACTGTGTTGATTCATAATTGCTGTCTCTCTGTCACTAACCTGTAGTACTCTAAAGATCATGGCAAAAGCAAGGTTTTTGAATAAGTTATGAACTGCTTTTCTGATCTGGATTTCCACTGACTGCAGTTCCTAATCCTACCATATTAAGTAAACTAGCAATGAACATATTCTCAATGCTGAGTCTGAGGATTCTATAAGTGTATAGTTAGTAAGGCAAATAATCTCTCCCAGCTCACAATGTAAAACTTTAATTCTTGCAATTTTTTGTATGCTCCATAAATCCAGTCCTGATGCAGCACATAGAAATAAAGTTCTGTACTGTATTTAGTGTAGAAGGCCTGTTTTAGTGAATACAGAGGTGGCATTTTCAAACTGCAATATGAAAAAAAATTCATGAAGACTACTAAAGTATATAATTCTCCAGTACAATACAATCTATGCTAATGAGAAAAAACTAGGTACATTATTATACATAACCTGCAGATTAATGAACAATTTTTTTGCCTTCATTTGAATATGCTTTTTATTAAGCAGAAATATGTTTTCCTGTACCTGACTCTGTTCTTGGTTGGGTGTAGCACTCAGTCCTGTTGCTGCCATGTAAGTGCTTCCAATGGTCTTTATCTTTTCAACTCCACTGAACTTTGGCTTTGACAATAACTGCAAAACAAGGACATTCATTATTCAGATCAGCAGCCCTGTTACTCTAACACCAATCAGAGAATAAAGTCTTAGAACAGTTTCTGTATCGACCTCAAATGGCTTCACAAATATATACAGGATGAAGGACTTAAGGATAAATTAAAAAATGGTTACAGAACTCCAAGGAAAGGGAATTTCTGTCTTCTAAAATACCTTTTTACTATAAAGGGATGAAATTTATAGTTGTGAGAATGAATTCCATCTTATTTTACATACAGCTTTTAAAAGTCAGTAGATTTTGCACTCGTGTGATATTGGAACTGGATCACCATGCCAGCCAACACTTAAGCTTTATGCAGCTTTCTGAAAGTAAGCATCTATTCCATGCCAGTGGAATAGTCCATGTCAATAGGAGTAAAATCCAAATATTTTAGTTCATATATCCCAGATTGTTTTGAACATTGGACATCCAATGCTCTCCAAATAGGTTTGCTGCTAAAATATCCTCTATAGCTGCAGATGCACAAATCCAGACTGTGCTCTCTGAGTCATGACACAAGTTTAATACCTTTTACTCTTCATCACTAATAACTTCCCTATAGAGAAATACTGTTCTCAGTGAGGCCGTTATAGATGCTTTTTCCCAATCCATATGTAGTCATACTCTCTACTTCCTTCTAACTTTAGAGAATGAAACATTACAACTTTTACAATGCTTTGATTTGCTTGTGTATCAAATCATCAGTGCAGATCGGGCATAAAACAAAGTTATATCTGATTTTAGACAGATATAACCTGTGGTTAATCCATAGCATGGAACGTAATTGTCTCAAGAGCTGCAGTTAAAGGGCAAAAAAAACCCCAAACAACATAGGATTCTCAACAGCATAGGATTATAGCAAATCAAAAGCAATTGAATATGATGTCAGATCAGTATCTGATTTATCTCACATAAATCTCTTTTTCCTTTAACAGTCCCTGTGTTTTCTGACAGCTCTTCCACTCTCCCCCCCAAGTATGTTTTCTGAGTGTTGCATACCATGAGTTAGTAAGATTGAAACCATTACTGTTTTTTTGTAGGTACATACATCATCGAAGTCCGCAATGATCTCATTTAGCAGCCTGAGACATTCCAACCCTTCCTTATTTACATCAGATTCTGTGTAAAATTCCTTGAAATCCGGAACAGAGGCAAACATGACACAGACGCAGTCATATGACTGGTGATACAGATCCTGTCCAAAAGAAAACAGTGTAAAGAAAAAAAAAATTATCATACCCAGCTGTAAATAAGTTTCCTTATTAACATTCAGAATCCAGGATCTAAAAACAGAGGTGCTGCAGTGGTTGGAATGCCTCAAGATGGATGTTGGATGTTTTTTGCATTTAGCTGCATTTCTTAATTTTAAACAACGTATAAACCTGTTCATAAAAGAGACTTAACATATAAAGCTGAAAATATTATAATGATTTTTTTTTTCCTGAACATTAACTCTGTGAAAATAAAATGTTCACTAATTTATTATATAGAGCCCATCTCTGAGACTTCTTTTGAAGAGAATTTAGTCTGGCTTGCATGGCTGAAAATGTATTTTGTAAAACAATATCCAATTTATTATTAGCTGTTTGTTATTGTACTAACTGAAAAAACTGAACCAAAATCACAAACTCAATGTATTGCAAATGCATAATGCAAAATGACCCTGATTGATAGTTCCTAACCTAAAATGACAATATGCATAATAAGGAGCTAGGCCAAAAAGAAAGAAGTCACCTGAACTGAAACTTACTTATGGCAGTCTGCACTGCCTTCTGTGACCACTGAAATGAGAGCATCTCTACTCTACAGAAAGATTCTGGTGCTAAAAATGTTTACCTCCTACTACCCCCTTCACTTTCCTCTCCACTGCCCTTGAACATTAGACTATTTCTTCTTTCAGGACAAATTCACATAGCCCCAAAAAAGATAGAAAGAAAGAAAGAAAATTTATTAAACTAACACTTAAAAAAGAAATAGCATCTATACACAAAGGTAGACACAGCAGTAAATGAGGCTGTTATCTAATGTAAAACTACCTTCAAATTATTGAGTGAAAAGGGATTTCAATACTCACATGAAAAGGATTTGTTCTGTGAGTTCAAGAAGCATAAGATATTATTTCCCTTTTTACTTAGCAAAGCTTGGGTTTTGCAATTTGACAGTCAGTGTGTTCTTTTGGAAGAAAGTGGTGTGCCTGTACACAGATGTGCACAGACATAGTGGATCTTTACTGCTGATGTAACTCAGAAAAATTACAGAACTATGGGAAAATGGGAAAACTGCTGACTGCTTCATCCCATCACAGGTGTGAGGGAAGTTTTTGAGCAAACATGAAAATAATGATGGACAGGAAGGAACATGAGCAGCTGGAGGAGATAAATTATTTATTAATAGATTTTTGTGCCTCCTGTATTTTCTAAGGATTTTTATACCCATGGCATCACTGAAGCTCCACACAACTGTGTGCTGCAGGGATGAAAATATATTGATTCACAGTTCCAGCTGTTATTCTCTTGTTGCACCATGATTAAATCCAGATTTCAGAGACTCTGCTGTGGGAAACATAAGGGTCAAGCCAGTAAGGAAATCTGGTCTGACTGAGTGTGTGGTGTGTGGAGAGTCAAGTAGGGAACCTAATGGCTCACTGGAGCTGCCCACTGTGAAGGGGATTTGGTCCCAGCTCAGGTGTGGCAGGTGTGACTGTCAGAGTGGCTCATGGATGGTCAGATGGGAGTATTTCCTTAACAAGGTACAGAGACTACACTCTGTGGTTAACTCAGCTTTACTTCTATTTCTTCAGGTCATCTTCCCTGTAACTTCATTTCAGTTATAGTGACCCATTTGTCCTTCTTCCTGTCTAATACTAGCAATGTCCATTCCCACTAATGAATGCTAAATAACATAGCACGATCATGGAAAAAACAAGTGGCACTGTTTATAACCAGATAAGTAGTAATTGTGACTATCACAACAAATTTTAGAGAATTTCAAGGAGTCATCCCCATCTAGTTTATTTTGATCATAATAATAAAGGATGTTACAATTGAGTGCCTTAATTTTCCTGAGAATTCTTCTCTTGAAACAGTACTCTCCAAAATGTGTAGTCAAAAAATTAAGTGCAATACTATTCTAGGAAGGAACAGCTTTTCTTATTTTAACAAAAATAAAATCATCCCATCATTTACATTCAATCCTTTTCTTTTCCCACTTTAATAACATCTGAAATTCTGCAAGTATGCTCCTGTTACTGTCCCCTCATCTCCAGTGTCTGAAAATCTTCCTGGGATAGAGAAGGCAAACCAGTCCAATTCTATCCCTTGGAAGGGTATGGCGGTGAGCTTCTCTGGGGTAGAATTTTTGCTCTAAGTAAGGTGCTAGCTCCATCCTGTAGCCAATAAAGCATGATTCCTCTTGCTCAGTGATGGGCTTGCCAGTTAGCTTGCAGCACAAAAGCTCCCATGCACTTTTTACTAATAGGGAATCTGAAGGATAAAAGCATTAAGGATTTCTCCTGCAAAAGCCAGGTGCAGATATATTGAATCCTGGCCCTGTTTTCCCCTCTTAATTTTAGATTTCAATTGGAAAATAACCTGTCTTTTATCCAGCATGCAGATTATAAGCAGAACCCATCTCTGGAGGTTATGGTAAAACAAACAAACCTTACCCTGAAGGAACCTTGCTTTTGGTGTATTAACATTAGACAATATATATATTTTGTTATAAAAAGACCTTTGTTGGTCATTTGAAACTACAGTCCAACTGTTTCCAGTTAGCATTCATCCACTCACTTTTTCCCTTTTAATTTCTTCTGCCTGCTTTTCAGCAGCACACTTTTTTCCCCCTTTTCTCCATATACAGCTGCATGCATAAAATATCAAGGGAAGCAGTATTTTGAAATAGAATATTCATCCATTTTCTTAATCTCAGAATCTGTTTTGAACAGAAAACAGCACAAATAAAACTATACTAACTTGAATGTTTGCAGCTAAGGAAGATATGGACAAATTTCAATGTCTTATCTGTTGACTTATGTATCCACACAGAGAAAACAAAGGTCTAATCTGCCCTAACGTCTGTATCTACATACAGAACCTTGCTGATATTGAAACAAATCTAAAGACATGACAGAGACTTATATTCCTGAATACTTCCAGAGATTGGAAAGGGCCTTCATTTGAAAACTACTGAAAGAAACAAAACAAGGAATAACTTGAGTTCAATTTTTTGGGTTTTTTTTCAATGGATGTCATTAAAATCATGTCAAATCATTTTTACTTCACCTGACATGATGAGATGGGGAGCTAAGCACTTTACAATTTCTGTGCTTCAATAAATTAAGTAAACTCATTCCAACCTAAGAATCTTGAGGGGTGACAAGATAAATCTGGTACCTGATGGAAAGGTAAGCAGATGGTGTTGCTCTGCTGGGGAGAGGATGTGGAGTAGCACAAAATCAAGAAAGCAATCTCCTGATGGTTTGCTGTGTTTAATGCTTTAACTGAGAACTGGAACTGAGTCAACTTGGCTTCCAGCCAAAATCTTCACTGTATTCAAAGGAACGCCACAGTAATTTTTGTTAGCTACCAAATGAATATTTGCAGGGTATACTAAAGTATTGAAATGCAGTCCTGATTAGTACTGCTTAATGCAAACCACGGTGAAAGGGAAGGTGTTGTCCTTTTCGGCTCAGAGATCAAAAATGAATCCCTAAATCTGCCCCCTGCCCTCTTTTGTCAGTTTTGAAACAATTATTTGGCAAGCACAAATAATAAAAAATCTTACATTTAAGATCTCTATAGCTGTTACTCTCTCTAAATGGATTTTTTTTTTTTTTTGCTTTATTATTGCTGTAAAGGAATATTAGGAGCAGATCTAATTTCCAGAAAAGTAAAGATGGATCTTTTGTGCAACTTTTTTGCTACTTGGATTAGGTCCATTAAGCAGTGAATAAATAGGTAATTCAATGTTCAGAACATCTTTCCAGAATTAACATAGCCACTGTTTCAGTGAAAAGGTTAATTTCACTCCAATAAACAAGCTCTCCACTGAACAAAAGAAAATTCAGAACCTGGTTGCAACTCCATTCTGATCATGGAGGAAAAAGTATCTGAATGCATATGATTTAAAATTAAACCCATGTTGATTCAGCCATTCTGTTCTTCCTCCTCCTCATCTATTTTTATTATCCTTCAATAGGCAAAATGCATTGCCACTTAGGAAAATTTCACCTTTTTATTTCAGGGTATTATGGTGCATTCAGTGCTGTAAAGCAAACCTTACAGGAAGGAAAGGGGAAATGAAAGTGTCTGTAAATTTATATTTTCGCTGTAAGGACCTACTGTTCAAAACAGCATTAAGTGGTATTTCCAGGGTACACTGCTTTCTTGCAGAGTAGAGGATATACAGAGACAGCTGACCTCATTCTTCAGGTTTCTTGCCAAGAAGTGTTCAGCTACGTGGGCTGGAAGCACATTTTCCAGAAGCACCCGATTTAGGTTCTCCATGGTTTCAATCTCCTCCCGCTCTTTTTTGAACTTGTTCTTCCACAGGAAGTCTAACCTACAGTAATATTCATTCTGTTACAAGAGGACACAGAAGTAAAGAAACAATAGGCATATTGTCCTGCTGGAGTACAGGTTTAAGAGACAAAATAAGCACAGTACACAACTCCTACAATGTTATTTATTTGGCTACTCAAATATACTTCCAGGTCCCACAGGAGTCAAACCCCAAGCATATACTTTGTGACATACATTTTATCAAATCTAGCAAAAAGGCCCAGGAGAAAATAAGAAAGTTACAAGGTGCCTTAAACAATGGAAGATTTATTTATCTACACTTAAGTAGAAATTATTTTCAGAAATCAAACTCTGTAATGGAAACAATTTACAGTTTTGCAACTTAATGTTATTTTGTAAGTGGAGAATTTAACTTACAATAATGGGCATTTCAGGAAGACCCTAACTTTTACTAACTTGAACTTACACCATGCTACCAGCCTGGCAAAAAGAAAACAGCCTATTGATATAATATACATTCAGTATATCAAATCATGATCAGACTATCAAAAATAGCCCAGTCAATTGGGCCAACTCAGTTGAGTTTTGGTTTTGTCAGTTGCTTTTTTTTTTTGGTTGGCTGGTTGGTTGGTTTTACACTCCTTTCTGTAATACTTTATCCTGCTTTTCTTTTTGTCCCAGAGTTTTCACAGTAGCTTTCCAGTAACCACAACAATACCTGGAACTATATGAAAATACACAACATCCTTGGAGTATCGGTATGTTTTGAGATCCAATTGCACTAGAAAGGTGGTGGAAAATTAATAAAACTGCATGTTTGTGGAGCTCTCTCCACTTCCTTTCAGTATTGTCAAGGTGTTGTCATGAATTCTATGGCATTTCCACAATAAAGCCTCCTCAGGCCTGTCTCATTTGACCTGATAAAAATCAAGAGCTATTTCAACATAGTCTTAATGGCTTAATACTATCAGGCAAACTTAATGAAGACTATCTTTTTAACCAGGAGAATAGGATTATGATGGAAATCTTATTATAGAAGAACTTAAAAGTGCTAGCTACTGGTATTAGCAGTCAGTAAGTACTGACGTAAAAAATGAGAGTAGTCCTTCTGACTGGACAGGGGCACAGCTCAAAATGATTCATAGGTATTCTACTCCAACCACAGCCACAGATAAGAGTAGAAAGTTGAAATTAGATGGTATTAAAATGATTTGGCAAGCTTTTAAAAGGCAATGAAAGAAAAAAACTGGTGAAGCAAAACTGTATATGCCAAATACTTGCAGGATGAAAAAACAGTAAGAGGAAAATTATTCCTCCACTTAAATGCATAGAGAGAAATATACTCAGGCTTCCTTTGAATTGGTTGATAAGGGCCAGGTAAATATTTAATTACAAAACTGAAAGAGAACATCCATCACATGAAATCTCTGTTAACATACTCTCTTTCTGCTGATACCTATAGTACTAAGGACAGAATGCAGACCTCAAATGCACTGCAAAAGAAATATTCTGGATATTCTGAAAGTAAAAGGGGTCTTGACATCTTAGAATGGATCATGCTGCACCACAGAAATCTAGACTTTGAATGTCAAATAAACAAACAAGCTGGATATTTTAAATAATTATATGCTACTAAAGGATATTTTCAAACTATAAGCAAAAGAAGAGTGGGCAGAGACTTAAATACTTATACAGACAATCATAAAGGTACAGAGAACCTGAGAACAAATTTCTGCAGGAATTCGGAAATAGGATTTTATTGTTGCCCTGTCATTGTGCCTGTATTAAATGGCAATTATCAGTGCTATAAAGCTTGAAGTCATGAATAGGGATTTTTTTCAGAACTGTCCGCATGATGCAAAATACATGGCAGTCACTTTTTTAGAATGTCTTTTGTATATATATATATATATATATATATATATATACACACAATATATTTATTCAGCCAAGAACTTGGATTAGTATAAATTGAAATATACTTAGATTCAAAATTCAAATGCTACAAATGGTATTCATGCAGAAAAAATCCAATAATACCCTGGAATGTCAAAATTCTTGGCATAAATTGACAAAAGTGACATGGATGCCTGCTGAAATTAGATATCCATACATATCCATGTCAACTTTGTAGTGAAAAGGTGAAGTTTTTAAAAATAAGTTTCTTCTTTAAAAGCTAGTATCAAAACCATAATTTATTTACTACCTTGCTATTTACCGAATTAAATTTAGGCTGCTCCAAAAAAGGTCAAAGAAAACTCAGAGATCAGAAAAGAAAAATCAGAATGTATTCTACAATTTGCTTTGAAATTAGAAAAGTCAGCATATAATATGTCAAAAAGAGAAGAGCACTAGCTTATTAACTTACTTTGAATTGTGGTGGTGGTGGTTTTTTTGTTTGTTTGTATCATACAAAACTTATCCTGATCAGTCAAGACAGACAGAGTGTTAGAGAACTGACAAAGGGTAGAGATATGAGGTAAGTCGTTGGAAAAGTAGCAGGAACAAGCAAGGTACTTTTTGAAAGAAAACCAAAATAAAACAAAATAAAAACCCAGTAAATGCTAAGGAAAAGAGCTATGTCTGCTAATGCTGATACAATTGGATGAGCTGACATACTTTCTGTAAACATGCCTCACTCTACTACAAAGAAGCAAATGGTCATGTGACTAGCAGTGAAATTTGAAATAAGTTTTCATTGGATTCTTTCAGAAGAGGCTCCTGAAGAGACTACTTTGTTCAAAAAGAGAAGAATTCCCTCACAAAATAAAAGCTCACAAAAAAACAGAACAGAGACAACAAAGAAACAGTTTTTGCAGCTCCAGGAAGCTGCCACAAGCACCTCAGCAGTAAAACTACCAATGAAATTCAGTGTGGATAACTACAGTATAAGTAATGGAAAAACTGTACAGACAGCCTATAGAGTAATGGGACACAAAATATTTTAGGTACTGTTGAGAAAGGAATTCACAGGCTATGTCAATACTGAATTCAAAACAGATCATAAGAGAAGTTTAGTGCTCAACAGTGTTTAAATATGAGCACTCTCCTTACACAGTCAGCCCATACCAATCTGGATTCCCCTGGGAAGGGTGGAAGAATTGCCATTCTCAACATAATGTCTGCCTGTTGCTAGCCCAGCAACATTATCAAGTACCTCTTGGGATCCGTATGCTGGGTGAAATGAGTCACTTCGTCTCAGTGTCAGGAAATAGTTGTCACCTATACTGGCAGGGCCATCAAAAAAAAACCAGTTCTGCTTTTTCCCCTTGCTTTTGTTGGTTCATCCCCATTCTTCTGGCACAAGCATTGCTGTGGCTACACCATAAATCTTGAAAATATGGCTCAAAACCAACCATTTCTGCAGGATTAATTTTTAATCCTGACCATTTCCCTATTTTGATCCACTATACATGTACACAGTGAGCTGGGCCAGTACAAATGAGGAGACAAAAGGATAAGAATAAGCAGGTGAGGGAAGGTTTGCTTCTTCCAGAGGTGATGTGAGCTGTGCAATTAAAAGAATTAAGTAGGCTCATAAACCGTGTAATGATACACTAACTCTTCCTCTCTTCATCCCCACTGAACCAGAGGCACTGATCCCCTGCTTTTTATTCAGGAGAGGCATTTTTATGACCAGTGGTGAGCATGTTCACAGGGCTAGGCTTGAAGGAAAGCATCCACTTTTTATTTGGATGAACGTTTTGGTTACTCATCCTAAGGACAATGGAAGCTGAAGGGAAGTAGAAAGGCCATCCTTTTCATCAGTGGCAATTATCTTTAGCATTTTTAAAATAATCAGATATCAAAAGAAGAAAAAATATGTTAGTTATCTGCAAAAAATGCAATAGCTAACAGAGAAATTACTTGCACATTACCCTCTGTGGAAGAAGGGTAAGATGACACTGCCAAGATGGTTCAACAGCATCCTGCAATTGCCACTCAATAAAAGTAGAAAAGAGGAAGTTTAAAAACAGAACGATAGACACTGTCACATGATTTTTTATCAAACTGTGAAATTCATTATTGGTGTTGGAAACACCAGGAAGATAAAATGGGTTAAAAAGAGATCAGATAGTGAAACAGAAAGCAGAACAGCCAATAGCTATTAAACACAGCCACAGAAATATCAACAGGCAGAAGGTGGGAAGTATACATCCTTGAAAAGGTCACTCTATGCAGGTTTGATTTCCTCCCCTATTCTTTTTCCAAGCATTTGCAAACAATCAATATCACCAAATGTAATTTAAAATGGCAGGTCTTAAGCCAGGTATGTATTAAAATTAGTTAATAACATTTTTTTCAGTAATATTTAGACTTTGCTTGAGAGCATTTGAAAATGCAGTTTTTTCTCCGTCTTCTTTAAGAGAGAATAAGTTAGAAAAATCAAAGGCAAAAGACTGAAGAGTTACAAGTGCTATCATGACAAGGATCCTGAACTCTGAAAATGAAGTCTCTTTCCATTATACGATCATTTCTTAGTTGGTGTGACAGAGAACACCTGTAGTTTTGTGCAAAACAAACTTTCTTGTTGATGTGCCTGAACCCACAAAGAAATCTGTCCCATTGAAGATGATGTTCCTTCTCTCCTTTATTCTTGGTAATGCATCCTCTGTCTCCATCTGAAATTTGGGTTGACAGGGACTAAAGATTCTCCACTGATGAGATGAAGAACTTATCCTTCTTTCTGACAAAAAGTAGCTGTGCTCTAGACCCACTCTGTCACTACCATCAAATGAACAAACTCTAATATGCTGCTGGTGACAAGGCAGATGTTATTTCTAAATCAAGAATGTTCACCACTACAATAAATACTGCAGAAACTGCCAGATAATAATTTTTTATGTAGTAACATGCAGGGTCTGCATGGCAATTTAAATGACAGTAATCGGCTTTTGAGGAATTGTCATGTAAATGAATGATTTAAAGACAGTCTGGGATAAAGTCCTTCTCAAGGCTGCAGTCTGTGAAGGCTCAGGCTGTTCATGAGATCTCACATGGATTGCCTCTTCCATTTCAGAGCCCTGCCTTGTGCACTGCATTGTTCTGGCACAATGGGCTGGAATTGCATCTTTTAGCTGTGAATCCTTTCCGGGCCTGAGGATTTAGAGAAAGAACTGCCCTTGCATCTTCCCTTAGCTTTTATTACAGGGTAAGACTATTGAGATCACATATGTTCTGGAAAAGCACAACTGGGTAATAAAAAGAGTAGTTTCCTGTTGGGTCACAGTTTTATTGCAACTGTGGCCTCAGCATGTGGTGCACTTCTGTGTGCACGCTGTATTGTTTCTGTGTCTGCACCAAATTGTAATAACTGTGAAGAAAATAGCTTGCAATTAAGCAACCAGGGAGACAGCAGATGGATGCAGACAGATGGGAACAAGCTGGGAAGCTACGAGCCAGTATTGGTCAGAATGACAAGCAATAGGCACAGTGCACTATCAGCATAATGCCAGTGATAGTTATTGGTGAGCTTTAAGGGCATATTGGAAGGCAAGAAAAAAAATAGTTTTATAGATGCTCCTGACACTCCTTTGCAAGGGTATGGGAGATAACAAGACAAAGGTGTTTCTTCGAGAAGGTGACAGCTGGCATTGTGTCCACTGGTGAAGAGAACTGTGTGTCTTACCTGTCTACCCAAAACCAGTAATGTGATGAAGAATATGAACAAGGAAATTGAGCCCATTGTCTTCAGGTCCTTCAGTATTCCTGGCCTGTAAAATAAAAACATAAGTAAAGCAGGCTGCTCAAAAGTTAAACCAATATTATTTCGAGAACAAAAATAAGACCACAATTTATATGTTCTACTTTCTGGTACATAAACTAAGAACATTTAAATATGATACAATATATTATTTTATGAAATATCATAATTTATGTTACGTAGCTTTAATTACCTCTACTACATTCTCTGCAAATGTGCCTACATTTTGAAGTCCAATAATAAGATGAGCATTTAGGAAAAATAATATCCTTTTTTACTTGCAAATGGAGAGCATTTGTGGCTTATTCTACACAAATAGAATAAAAATAGATTTTTAATGCAATAACAGTATTTCCATTGTGGCGAGCTTGATCATATCCAATGAATATGAAGAAACAGAAACTAAAGCATCTAATTCTCAAGATAACTTGTCACCTGAGGGGGCACAAACTAGATCTTGTACAGAGTTTATTAAAAGCTCTGCTTTGGCAAAAGTCACTAAAGGCAATGGAAAACAGTTCACATTAGAACTCTCCTATTCATGTCACTGAAACAAGAACCTTGGTAAGAGATTTAGGAAGGAAAATACCAACAGACATGGAGCTTGACTGACAAAATCAAAGCCGCCAGAATCACAAGCTCAATCTAACTTGTCCCCTGGTTCTCCATACCATCACACACATACTCTTTCCATTAATAAAATGGAAGCAAAGACTTCGGTTTGTTCACTTAATCTTTAGATTTAAGTGCAAAAAAACCTACACTTAAAAAAAAAAATATTTTTCAATTGAGATCCTTTTCTATGAATGTTACAGCATACGAAAAATTATATTGAAACTACATTATGAATATCCAGATTTTCTGCTGTGGCATATGTCATACACTTGACCTACACAGAAGAGAATCATCACTTTGTTTTGAAAATGAGGCAGAAATTGCAGCCATCCAAAAATTATTTTACACAGCAATAACAAGAACTGGAGTAATAATTTTGGTCTTACATACTATCAGCTGTAACAAAGATTTCAGCAGTCTCACTAAGAACTTAAGATATAAATGCACAGACACAGCAAAAAAAAAAAAAAAAAACAAAAAACCAAAACAACAACAAAAAAAAAGAAAAACCTGTCGGTCTGCTGATTTTTTCAATCACTAAGACTTCATTTGTAAACATTTCAGACAATGTACTAGTTCTGGGGAAGCAAATTTTCTTCAGCTTGAAGGAAATATACTCTAAAAGCCTTAATGATGTGCAGCCTGAGACCATAACACACTTGCTGATGACTTCTTATAACATTATTTGTGAAAAAAATGCAAATTAAACCATACTCTGTTTCCTATAGTGTGTGGTTTAAATGCCTTGTCCAGACGTCTTTTATTCTAATGCTCCGAGATGTGACATTAAATCAAATATTAACTGCAGCATGACAATGATTTTACATTGTGACTCAGATTACATAGCCAAACGTGTATTCCATGACATAAGAGCTACCATGGGTAGTATTTAACTTCATAAAGACTGGATTTAGCCACCTACCTTCTAAGAGGTGCCATTGCATACATAAATTTGCTGTAGTCATCCAGCATGGGCCCATGAGTGTGCAGAAGGATAACATTGTAGCCCACCAATGCAATCAACATTATTACCATTTTCAACTCATAATTTATCCTCAGGAAAACAGAACAGGAAATGAGCCCTAATATGCAGCTGTATATAAAATACTGGCAAAGAGAAATCAAATGGAAAATATTTAGACTTTGGCTCTTGAGTAGGAAATAATGCATAGTAAAATGCTCAGGCTACTTTAAAAAACAAATTATTGACTGACTTAAGTGCAATCTATCACAGTCTGGGACACTATGGTTTATAGACAACCAATAAAAAGAAATTTATACTCCCTAATTTTCACCCTTTGACACTTTGGATTTCCTCATCTACATTTGTGGGATACCACTGCTGGTGTTGAAATCTAATGTAGGAGTTTGTTGCCAGCAGACTGACATAAGATTTACTCCTATTCCACTGTAAAATTTTCATTCATGCTTGAGTCCCAGGATTACCCTGTATGTCTTGCTAGTATTTGGGTCAAGGTAAAATGCCTGAAGCAATAATTTCATTACCTATATTTGCAGTTGTTATAAACTGATGCAGTACACAGTTGTGAATCTCATAGATATGCAATTTAACAAACTCTAGAAATACAGCTAGGATAGGAAAAATACAAAGCTATTAACAGGGCTTATACATAATATAAATATAAAAAAATCCTTCTCTCAAATCCTGTGGAGTACTAACTGTATAAGAACACACTCTATTGCTAAAAAGAAAAAAAGTATTTTCTTTCCTATGTCATATATATCAACAAAAACATGTATAGTTGAAGTTAAGTTCCTGGAATAATATTTTCTCCTAATACTTTCTGGAAATTGATAGCATTTAGCATCAAAATTAATGCTAAAACAGGAATCATCTCTAGAATCATTATCTTAGTCTTTAATATGCAACCCCTTTGCCAGAAATGCTTCCTGAAAATTACAGTCCTGCACCTTGCAAGGAAGTTTCTTTTCTGAAACTACAAAGCATTCTATTTCTAGTCATGCTATTTTCAGACTACTGTTGACTTGTTGATGGCAGCACTTTTGACAGAACCTGAATCACTGTATACTAATTTTGGAGGATCACTAAGAAGGATAATTTTCACAGCATCCATCAGACAGAATTTATCTGCCACCTCAATCTTTGCTGCTACTGTAATTTGCTCAAAGATCTGGTTAAAATAAGAAATAAATATAACTATTGTTCAGAATCACCAAAAAATAAAACTTCTCTAATAGCTGCATTTCAGAGGAGGTCACACTCCAAATTTATGACTACATAAAAATAGCAGCATCGTTTTTTGAGTCAGTAAGGCATTCTAGTGTTGAAATTGGTTTTCCAAAAAGAAAAAAGGAGAGGCAATCTTGAACCCACAACTGGACACGGTTTGACAAAGACCCAGAAATTTTCAAGTGTAACAGTCTCTGACAGTATTCCATAGGAATACATAGAATAGATTGAAAATTTCAGACAAGGGTGGATGAATTAGAGAAGAGTGGCACAGCAACACATTTAAGAATGTAGACCTTGCATTGCAGTGCAGTGTTTCAGTAAGAAACAAGCAGATCTGGAGAGTCTGGCAACCCACAGAGCAGTTAAGCTGAGCAGGTGCAAGCCACTGGCCTGCTTAGGGCATCCCCCAGCCCCAGGATAACCTCAGCCAGCTCAGCCACCAACCCAGGAGCCTGCAGGCAGCCCCCTCTTGGTACCAGTGTGATGCCCCCTCTGCAGCTTGGCTTTGTCCAACAGTGCAACAGCAAGTTCTCATGGAGGTCCCTTTTGGATGACAGCTGAAGCAGTGAATATAAATGTTTCCTTTTAAAAAAATACTCCAACAACTCAAAAGAAGAAAATCCTGGGTAACCTCTCCACAGACAGAATCTGCACCTCATGCTGGATGAATCAAGATTGTCAGCATCTGAAGGGGTATAACTCCATCAATTCCCTTTTTCTTTCTTGTGCTAGCTAATAAAGGTATTTTAACCAGTACCTTAAAGAGTCTGAGTGTTTTTCTTACTGGGATCACAGGTCTGGTGTCTTGCACCAGGGTAGTATGCACTTAGGATCCAGCCCAATGCATTTGGTCTCTTCTCTTAAAATTTAAGACCTGCAGTTCTGTGGGTATAAAGGTCTTTACTGAAGGAAGAAGGAATTCTCCTCCCATATGTCATTATGTCTACATGAGGACAAAGTAATTTTTTAAAAAATTCCTAGTCAAATAAAATATATTCCAAAACTGCATCTTTTAGATGTTAGTATTATACCTTCTATCTATTTAACATGTGGAGATGACAGCACTGATACCTGACTATTTTGTCCCAGAAGTAGATATACACATCAACTTCTATTACACAGAAACTACAGAAGCATCGTAGCAAAATTAAACAAAACTAAGCACAAAAATGTTGCTATAATTTACTGAAGAATCTTTGCTAAGTCTTTTTAAAAAGTAAGCTATACTAATCAAAAAGATTATTTTGGTGGGTAGAGAAGGAGGCAAATAAATTGCTTTGCTTCAAAATGAACTTAAATCAATTGGGCCTAAAGTAATTCCCAAAACTCTTATGTACTCATTTTAGATTACAGAGTCAATAGATGTCAGGTTTACTATCATAAATCACATAAAGTTTATTGACATGAATAAAGCTTAAAACCAACACACATATTCAGAATAACACATTTTTAATTTAAGGAAACAAACATTTGTCAGCCTAAGTATTCAATATCTTATAGAGTGGAGAGAAATTTTAATCCCAGATTAAAGAAAAAAATTAAAAGTGGTAACTCAAAGGGAATTTACAGCTTTTTCAAGCTGAAATATTTGCAGTGTCTGGGGATAAAAACAATGTGTATTTGAGAGATCTTTTAAGGTTTTAAAATGTTTAGCTAACTTTAATTTTTTATTTACTAATGTCAGAAGTAAAATTTTAACATAATTTTTAAATGCCAATCTATCAAAGACTAATTTTCGTAGATGGAAGAATTTGTTTTAATACTTTAAAAGTTATAAATCCTGAAATCGGGACACACCATTTTGGTAATGGTCTCATTATTTTACCACAGAGATGAAATAAACTCCCTTCTCCTCTTGCTGCCACCAGCTTATTCACCCAAACCCAGCTGACCTATTTTTACACAATGTATGGCTTGATATTTTCAACTGCAGGTCTTTTGTAATGCTTTTAAGAGTCACTGCTCTTTAGGACACAGGTCCAACTTTTTTGCAGCAATGTCCTTCCCCCTCCTCTTGCATGTGCCATTGTGCTTTTGCTGACACTGAGACACCTTCTTCAGATCAGCTCAGGTCTCATAAGAAGTTTATATAGTGGCACATGAGAGTTTTATTTCTGTCCCTCTCACACCAGCTTTTCCAAAATATGCAATGACAGAAGTGTGACAATTTCACACTTGATGAAAATGGCAAGTATTTTCAGGTCAGTCACGTGAAAATATTCCCACCATGGGAAACCTGCTTGCAGACTAACCTGGCTTTCAGTGAACAGTCTCTTTTGCAGATGCTGTGTGTTATCTTGATGTCTTGTAATGTGTTAGCATGGGTGAGTTAAGCTTCTTTCTTATTATTCTGTTTTCTGCTTTTTTAATCTGGCATTCATTAAAACCTCTATTTTCAGAAGAAATAATCTCATTTAACTTCCCACTTACTTCAAATGCAGTTGCAGCTGACTAAAAAAAAAATTCAAGCTTTTACTGCAATCTCAAAAATGGGTGGGTGTTTAACTTCAAGCAGATCTGGTAACAGTCAATTTAGCCTAATTGTTGTAAACAAACAAAGAAATGTGAAATTAACTTACCGGTAGGAAAAAACAGTTATTTTGTATACACCACCGTGTCTGATTACTTGAATTAGGAAAACTTGCATTTGATGAATTAAGAATGGAGGGAAAAGCTATCACAGCATTATCCAGGAAAAACTAGAAAAAAAAATCAACATATAATCCATTAGCATGACAGCTGTTTAAGGTCATAATAGAGAAGAGAAATGGAGAAGCAGAGAAATCTTTGCACATAACTATTTAACTTTGGTATTTCATTGTATTTTTATTTTAATTTGAAATAGGAAAAGGAAGATGACATACCATGATTACTTGTTTCTGCATTCTCAAACAAAAAAAAACTTTGCTAACCTTCATCTGACACTTTCTACTTGAATAAAAGACCAAAGGCTCTTTGTTATATTACGTTCATATATCAGCAGCTCACACACCCAAGAGACAATGAAAAAATAAACTCAATATGAATAATTCTTGGATTTACCTCAACTGAATGTCCTATTTAAACACAGGAAGAGTTAAAGAAAGAATTAGAAGTCTTTACTGAAATTGATTTACACAGATGGAATAACATCATAATGCTGACATTAATACTGGGAGGAATGTAATTGAAACTGAAAAGTGAATCCATTTATCTCTTGGGTCATCAAATTCAGCCAGTAATCACAGAGGAAACCATCATCATACAGACCCCCTTGATGCAATGATCCAGTGCTTTCTTAACAATTTAGATTTTGGTGACTACATTTATTCCAGTAGTTTGAATCTCTTAAGCTGTTTCTAGATTTAACCACTATTCATGGCTAGTTCTCTTGTTTTTCTTCTTGTCATAATGTCATCCTTTTACTTTCATATAGCTTCTTCCTCTCCCTAGTATTTAAAGTCCTAATATTTAGTGTAATCTCAGGTTTCATTGTGCTCATTAATCTATGTTTTCTCTCGTTTCTTCCCTAAAAACAAGCTCTTAATTCCCCTGCCTTAGCGCTCTCTTGTCCCCCCTTTTGTCCCAGCTAGCACAGTGGTGGGGGGGGGAGCACTGGCAACTTCCGTGTTTTCCGGCGAACCCTCGCGGGTGTCGGCAGGTGCTGCGTGGGTTTGGGAGCGAGGCGAGTCCCAAGGCGAATAAAAGGAGAGAGACTTTTTCCCCCGCGGGCGAAATCCCGGTTTATTGCGGCTTGGTTGGGAAGGCAAAAACCGAAAAGGCTGCTGCGTGCTAAGTTAGAGTTTGTCCGTGCCGCCTTGCTGGTTTGGGGGCGGGGCGGCGCGCTCCGAGGCTGGCCGCGATCCAAGAGAGGCGGCGTGTGGAGCCGCAGCGCTGCGGCCGGCACGCGCGGGAGCCGCGACGACAGCGGCGGCAGATCGTCTGCGGCAGCGATCGCGGGGCAGTTTGGGGCGGCCGCGATCGCCCGGGGCAGCGGCGGTGGTTGCGGAGCAGATGCAAGCGGCGGCGGCTGCGGCAGTCAGGGGCCGGGCGAGAGAGAGAGCCGCGGCAGCACGCAGGGATCCGGCGGGAGAAAAAGCCCGCGGCAGCACGCAGGAATCAGGCGGGAGAAAAAGCCCGCGGGCCGGGCAGCAGCAGCAGTCAGGAGCCGAGCGGGAGAAAAAGCACCGGGCGTCCCCAACCCGCGCTATAAGTACTGAATAGGGGAAACCCGGGGTGGCCAATGAGATAACGCCACGGGGGGACTGGGGACAGTGGGGTGCAGGGGTCCAATGGGAGATGGACAGATGGAAGGGTGCCAGGTCGTCTCCCGACCCCGCCGCGTGGCTGACAGATGGTCTGAGAGATGTAAACAGAGTGACTTGGCACTTTCTCGGGAAGGCAAACCGCGGGGGGAAATGGGAGAACCCGGGAGGTCATTACAGATCGCGACGGGATACATGGAATGACCTTATACATAATAGAACATATAATAACACAATTCCACATTTCCCCAGTTAGTCTAGTAGTCTCCCTCTGTACATATTTCTTTCAATTCAACCTTCTGGGCCACCAAAACTGCCAACACACTTCCCAGATTTTATCAGTGAGTCATGCAATAGCACTAATACTAATTTTGCAGAAAATATATTATCATACATCCTAGAGTCACAGAATTTTTAGGGTTGGAAGCGACCTCTGAAGACCATCCAGTTCAACACACCTGCCATGGCACAGTCACCTAGATCAGGTTACACAGGAATTTGTCCAGGTCAATTTTGAATGGCTCCAGACAGGAAGAGTTCTCAACTTCCCTGGGCAGCCTTTTCCACCCTCAATACAAAGTCGTTCCTCTTGTTGAGGTGGAACTTGTTGTATTTTAATTTATGGCCATTGCTCCTCATACTATTGCTGGACACCACTGAAAAGAGCCTGGCACCATCCTCTTGACACCTGCCTTTGAGGCATTTTTATGTATTGAATAAATTGAATATAAAAGCTGAATTTATATATCTAGAACAACGTTCCTTTGCTCTCAGCTACAAAACCTTAATAGTTCACCGTACCTCATGCAGCTGAGGCTCAGACAGATCTTGATGTTACAAGAGCTTAACACATTCTGCAGAGGGATATCACCCCAGCTATTAACATCATGATCAGCAGATGTGAGGTAGCTTTCCTTCATTGGGACTCACCTAGGTAAATGCAGTTCATACTTACCATGAATTAAAAGCAGTCACATGGATGGTTATTGTGATTCAGCTGAGTTGACATTAAACACACCTAATTAATTAAATTCCTGAACTCATTGCCTATCCATCTGATGAACTTCCAACATATATCAGAATTTCTTGTCACTAATTTGTCAGACCAACTATCATCTTAAGCTTTTTACTACTAAACTTCATCCTAGTTCTTTTATTTTCTCAAATGCATACCTTTTCCCTTTCTAAAATACAAGCCTTACCTCACAGACAGTGACTTTTTTACCTTAATTTATTAGCAAATTTCACAGTCTTACACACTAAATATGAAAGTCCACACGTGGTTGACCAGAGTAGAGCTCCAGAGATCACCTCCCTCTCACACGCTGTTCTCTGCAGGTAGTCACTGAGTAGCCCACCTCTAAATTCTTTCTCCACTTCTTGACTTTAACTACTGTTACAGAGAAAACCTGAACTGCTTCACTCAGAGGAACTAAATGTGGGTCAGAATGGTTTCTGATTTACTAATGTTAGATCTGGTCAGTCATTTCATCATAGTTCTGTACAGCCAGGTCCTGGAAACTTCCAAGGACAGAGACCCACAATCCCCCTTGGCAGCAGTCAGCACTGTTTGTGCACAATGACTTCTTTTATCTTTCTAAAGACTATCCAACCTCCCATGTCACCACCTGTGTTGAGTGCCCTTTGATATGTTTTATAGCTCTGCAGAGAAGAGTCTGAAGCCATTCTCTCTCTTAACTCCCCTTCAACAGAAGTCCAAGGTTGTGGATTTGCAAAGGTTATCAATACGCCACTACGACCAACACCAAGCTAGCACTCACCTGGGTTTATGCAGTTGCACTTCTGGGTTCCCTTGCTTTGCCAACATAACTGTGTATGTCAAACTGCATATAATTAACTTGCCATCAGTGAACTACAAAGTCAGGATGAGTGTTGAATCCTCTGAATCTTTTCCCTTCATGGAAATACCCCACACTGCTACAGATGAGGATCAGTATCAGAAATATAACAGATAAACCACAAAAACAGACCCTACAAAATGTTAATGAACACCTACAGATTTTGAAACATCTTTTTATAACTGATCCCAAAGAGCTCTAATGACGTGCACATTAAGAGAGTTACATGCACATCTGCCTCTTCCCACAGGATGTGTGGGTGAAAATGCACACACTCCCTTTTCTGGGAATGCAGGTTCCCCTACTGGCACACACTGCTGAAAGGAGATGCAGGTACTTTAGTTTTATGTGCACCTATGCAGCTCCCTGCAAGCTGTCAATGCACATGCTGGAAAGAGAGCCATGCAGGTTCGTGTGCAGGGACAAACCTGAGCAGTGGTCCCTGCTTGTCCCAGCCTGTGCTGTTGCCTGCCCATTTGCATGGCAGGCAGCTCACAGTATCTGACAGGCAGACTGCTTTTGCTGGCTGAAGCAGAGGTGTGATGCCAGAGACGTGACTTGTGACAGCATCAAAATAGTTTTTTGACAGTCATCAGTTTCCACTCATAGCTCTCTGCCTCCTGTTACACATTTCCACATTGCCCAGAGGCTGGAGTCTCCCTTACTGGAGATGTTCAAGAACTGTCTGGACACAATCCTGTGCCGTGTGCTCTAGGATGACCCTACTTGAGCAGGGAGCTTGGACCAGATGACCACTGTGGTTCTTTCCAACCTGATCTATTCTGTGATTCTGTTTCTTTTACACTTCTTTTCACATGACTTCCTTCTTTACTTAAGGATTTTCTTAAGTTGCTTGGTTACTTTTTAAGCCAGCTGATGCTCACCTGCCTCTTTTAACAGGAACAACTTTGGACAAAAGCCCTCAGACAGCTTTGAGGATTTACTCTCCCTCCCTGCCCACAGCTATTTAATAACTTTTCTTAACAAGGGCATTTGCCAAGAGAACCACATCCCACTAACAGTGCATATGCTTTTTCTGTAAAACTTGAAATATTTAGTTTCAGAATCCCACTTTTTGCATGTCCCCAGAGCAAAGATTATATAACACGAAGAACTCAATTATATTATGGAAACACATATGGCATGCACATTTATATATGTTAATTTATATCAAAGCATTTTAATTTGGGTTTTGAACCTTGCACAAAGCATTTCTGACCTATAAATATTACCTGTATACACAGAACACTATAGGAAATATGGTATATCTATGCATATATTAATAAATATAAAAAGAAGAAAAAAAAGGATATGGAAATGTTGACACCTACCATGAGCCAAACAACACTTATTTCTGAATGATGTGTTTGCCCTTGTCTTTCTTGTCTCTCCTCAGTTATCTATATCTGCTATCATGCTCTGAAGATACATATTGTTCTTCAACATAGTATTTTTTGTAAGAGTAGGTTCAGTCCTACTAAGCAGTCACACCTACTCAAATGACTCAAATGAAAGCAGTACTTTTTTATGAATACCAAGGTTTGCCAGGGAATGTCTGAGCATGCTATCATTACGTTCTTATTTTAACTTCATATATTCTGAGTTTTTTCTTTTCTTGTGTTCACATGATCTGCAATCCTCAGTTGTGAGTTTTGTGCCTCACATAATGAAAATACCTACTTTCAATGGGAGCCATGTGGTGACAGATCCTCCCCCCAAAACTTGGGATAAGCAAACTACTGCATCCCTTTTGTTGTCTGAAAACAACAACATAATACACTAGTTTAGATCTCATTAGAAAAGAAGCCATCTTTCTCACTGAGAAAGATGAAAGTACTTGGATGTAGAATGCATATCACAGCTTCCTTTGAAAAATGGCAGTTGGTCTGGCAGCTGAGTCAGGACTTTTATTCCCAGATCCTCACAAGAATGCCCCGAGAACAGTGTGAAAAATCACAAATTCTGGTATCGTTCCCCCTCTTCCCAAGATCAAAAGAAGAGGCTTAAGCACAGCCTAGGATGCTAAGTTCCTACACAGACTATTATGCAATTTTTTTACCAAATAAAGGTGGTGCTGAGATATTGGTAAGTTGTAAAAGGATAATAAAAATCCAGAGAGTACTGAAATGCATTTAGCAGAACTTTTAGAGCACTTTACTTATGAGTTTGTACAAGGCTTCTTAACATCAAAGTATTCATGCATCTGCAATATTTAGTGCCTTGTGGCATAAATGGACCAAATTAAAGTTGCTCAGTAATGTCTTTTTTATGAATGTTTGTGTGCTAAGTAAAAATGCAAAACTATCTTTGTGCCACCATGTATTCAATTCCTAGCCCCCTGCAGAGGCAATATGTAGTGGTAAGTCACTGTCTTGTTCAAAGCTCCCACCAACAGGTAAGATGAGAAGTCTGCTGGCCCTTTACAAGCTCAAACAGCATGATTTTTGTATTTGACAGCTATGAAGAGATGCTCACTTATAAAGGCAGTGACAAGCACGACTCAATTTTTTCCCACACTCTTGAAAAAAACTAGAACTGCTGTAAACATGATTTCAGAGCAGTGTCTCACCTGGTAGTGCATCTCTGCTAATCTAGTCTACCTAGATTGATACTGATTTTTTAAAGCTCCTTAAATCCTGGAACAGATTTATGACTGGGCCCTGCAAGTACCACTTAAATGACATCAGCTGTGCTTTTTCCTTCCAAACCCCTGGTCAGGTCAACCTCTAGACAGTGTCTGTTTATTCTTCTCGAAAGACATGCATTAGGCACCCTCCAAAACAGGCTCTTCAATGTGCCAGGCACTGTGAGGATGTATAATTAGAGTGTATCTGCCAAAGAACTTGACAATTAAAAATACAAGTTCACCAACAGAGTCAGCTGCACTAAAAGGAAGATCTATTAAAGAAACCAAATTTCCACTATGAGAATGAAAGCAGTTTTGATCAATTATGTGTCATTATTTGAACACAGGATCATCCATGACATCGATGGGGCAAATACTTGTATCTTTCAAGGCAGCTTGGACTCACAGACATACATGAACCAATGGAGCAAAATTACTCAAACCTCTCTCAGTATTCACATTCCTAAACATGTGTTCTTTAAGAGGAAACAGTCCAGTTGTAAAAATTCAGAGGATGAAAAGACAGGAAAGCAAGTAATATCTAGAGAAGGGCCAAAAAGATTATCAGAGGGCTGGAGCACCTCTCCTAAGAAGACAGTCTGAGAGAACTGGAGTTGTTCAGCCTGGAAAAGTCTCCAGGGAGACCTTAGAGCACCTTCTAGTACCTGAAGGGCCTCAGAAAGATTGGCACAAACTTTGTAGCAGGGTCCATTGCGACAGGACAAGGGGTAATGGTTTTAAACTAAAACAGGGTAGATTCAGACTAGATATAAGGAAACATATAATAAGGGTGGTGAGGCACTAGAACAGGCTTCCTAGGGAGGTGTGGATGTCCTATTCCTGGAAACACTCAAAGTCAGGTTAGACAGGACTCTGAGAAATCTGATTCAGTTAAAGATGTCCCTGCCCATGGCAGGGGGGGAGGGTGGGAGTGAACTACATGACTTTTTAAGATTATTTTCAACCCAAACTATTCTATGATTCTATGATCCTGAATCTTAAACTGGTCGTTAGAGTAATTAAGAGTTTGTGGAACAGTACAAGCCTGAGCTCTTGTTGCTTGTGCCAAGAACCATTCATGCATTTGAGGCAGAAGTCACTGAAACCAAGAGTTGTTGCAGGACACTTTTATCATGCACTATTCCTTGAGATCTAATGAATCCCAGAGAATGATAAGGCGCAATCATTTGACAGACTGCATGCAGGCCTTCATTCCGTTTTCAAGTATTAACTCTTCACAGTCATGCAGTCCTATTGTCTCTCTGGGCTTCCTGTATTGCTCCGTGCAGGATACTTTCTCCTGAATCAGTTTACAGCAGGCCAGTTTGACAAAAATAGCTTTCTTCAGACACTGATAGATGTCCTACTGTCTGTATAGCACCAGATCGAATGCTTACCCTCTGCCTTCAGCTCAGAACTATTTGATACTTATTTGACATTAACTGATTTTTAACTTCCCTTTGCTGATCAGGACCACATATTTCTCAAACCTGAACAAGAGATTTAGACATCAGCTGAAACAGCTAATTTCAAATAAAATTGCAGCCCCACTCTCCTGGAGTCTCCCTTGGCCAAGAAGACTGAGTTTTATTTGGCATTTTAGTCTTAATGATAATTTATTAGGTGTGGCATGGTTAGACGCTTTTTACCTCCATTAAATCTTAATGGCTACATTTTGCCTTTTGCTACTGAAATGGTTCAATGGAAGTAAATGCAGTTAACGGATTCTGCTATTAAGTACATGTTGCTTGGAGATAATAATAATGATACTTCAGAGTCTCTCACAGAATTTGCTAATGCGAATTTCACAATCACATTTAAAGTCATTTTTGCTAGTCAGACTATTAAGGTTTAGTTTCAAGGTGGGAATTGTACTTAAAATTATCATCTCATGAATATCATGGAACATGATTATTTGTAACTCTGTAACATTGATTATAAGGCACTAAGACTTTAAAATACAGCCTATTAGGTATTACTATAACATTCAGTCCACATAAAATTGGGCATGAGCCAATAAAATTAAAACCTTTGTCTAAAAATTATGTACTGAACAACTCCTTTTTTTTGCTAGAATGTCTTTCACTGCTTGAAGGCCAAGTTTGAAGTCGGCTGTAAACACCAGTAGAACTTTAATCTAAGCAAAAAAAACAGCTGCTGACCATATCTCCTTTTACATTTTTTAACTTAGTAACCATATGCATGAAGTCTAACTCAAAGTATACTTTATACCCAAGTAGATTCTTTCTTTTCTTCTGATATATTTACAGCATTCAAAATAAAAGAAAACCTAGACTGATCTTCATTTTTCAAGTTACTAAATGTCTGAGGTTTTTGCTGTTGTATAACTTTTGCAAGCCTAAAGGTCGTAATTCAAAAAGAGTCTTCAGCTAATGAAGAATTAATAGCTTTTCAGAATAATTGTTTCTATTGCTAACTGCTTTCACTGATGAAAAGTCAGTTTATATTCAGTTTTATATTATTTTCAGCTTCTGCTTCTTTGAGCTTCTCCTCTCCCAGCCTTACATACTTAATTCACTTAGGTGAATTTTAGATTTTGGAAATAAAATTGCTTTTCTGTTTCTCTCCTCTCCTTCAAAAAACAAACAAACAAACAAACAAACAAAAAAAACCAGGAAAAAGAATGAACAGAAAACCAACATTAACAAGACTAGAAAAATTCAAAGGTAAAATGGAGAGAAGACTCTACCAGAAATTTCAAGTGTTCACATTTAAAAAGCCCACATTACATCATTTGGACAAGTTTAGTATTTAGTGAAAAAATGATTGATTAAGGCTCCCCTGAAATGTAGGAAAACAAAATAAAACAGTGTAGGTATTATCAATCTCTAAGTCCTTTATGAATCCTCAGCAACAAAAGTACCAGCAACTCAAGGAAGCATTAGAGTTGCAACTTCAAAAGCACTGAAATGTGAATCTCACTGACTTGAAACGTGAATATTTATGCATTGATGTTGTGATGAAAACATTGCCTAATAAAGGTTAGCATTCCCACTTTGCAGAAACAGAACGGAACTGGAACACTTTCATAGCTTTACAAACAGAATTTACCTTAGCCAACAGGACAAAACAAATGAAGACTTTTGATCCCATGTATTGGTCATCCCATTAGACAACAGATTCTTCGGACTAAATGAGATCATTAAGATTCATCCTTTAGGCAAACTAATGAAAGATTTACTCTATAATTGCTATAGTTGCAAAGGAATAATAAAATTACATGGATTTTCTCTGTTAGGAGAGAAAAGCACAAGTTGAAATCACTTAAGTAGATGTAAGCTCTAAAGAATTTGTAGGTCAGTACTCTTGATGTTTTGACATAACGTCAAAATTTTTCTTATTTTAAAAAAAAGACAAGCATGTGAAACTGATAATGTATACATTATGATAATTTTTGTGTCAGCAGAGGAGCATCACAAAACTGAATAAAGCTTAGTTTGTTTCACACAAAGTCTTCTACAAATCCTGTGAGGAGATGCTTCATTTTTCAGCAATGCTGCATTTCTAAGCAATGCACAGATGACTAAGGGACTTGTGTAATTCAAACCTGAGATTTAACTGTTTTCTTTTCACGATAAATAATATTTTTCTTTAACAAATTTAGCCAGGGTCTGAGCTCTTGTTGAGCATCCTGTTTGCAGAGGTCTCGATTACATAGTATGTTTTCTTTTGCTCTGCTTTACATTTCTGTCTCTGGCAATTGTTATCATGCAGGTTCCTGGCATAGCCACAGGCCATAAATTTAACATCTAAATGATGCTAAATTTATTCTTGTTGTTGTTATTCTACTGAATAACAACAACAAATATTAAATGGACAGAAAACCATGAAAAATTACGCCTTTTTTCCCTTACCATGTTAAATACAGCCATGGTTAATATTATAGCAGTGGTTGTCAATGTAAGAGTGATCCTTGGCCAAGGACGGTTTGCAATTATTCCAGATGATTTCAGGATCCACAACAATGAAGCTGATGCTTTCTTGCTACATTGCTAAGTGCGAACAGTTTGAAAAAGAGAGAGAGAAAAAAGATCTTTAATATGTTTAATTAGTATAAACAAGGGTAAAATTAGGATATCTCATGACTAAGGGCAGTATTAATCTTACAACATTGTACAGAACTATTTCACTATTAAAGTCTCACAAGAATTACAGATCATGATTAAGCATGAAAATAAAGAAACATTTATTTAAAATAACTGCCATAATATCACTTCCTTATAATAATAATTTGCAAGTGCCTTACTAAACATTCAATACATACTACTAATAATAGCAAAATACAGGGTTGACAGCAATGTCATTACCTTTAACATCAGCAAAACTCTCGAAAATGTACTTACCTGCCTTGACTGAATTGAAAGAGTCATGTTTAGTAGCCTCTGGAAACTTCAAAATGTAAATAATGACTCTGCAAAGTCTTTGACACAGAATAAAGTCTAGATGTATCCCTGGCAGCCCAGTTTCCAGGCTTTCTTTCATCTTTTTGGAGTCTTATTTGATAATTATTTTAAATGGAAAATAACTCAGCAAAGCAAATCAACCTTCCTTAAAACTATCTAGAAGGCAAATAAGCATTTCATAAAAAACTGTATGCAAAATTTGACACAAAAAGGATTTAGTGAATAGAAAAATATTCTTATATAGTGACAAAAATTAACAATAAAAAACTCTGACTCATTTAATCTGCTTCTAAGAAGACATTGCAAAGTCTCCATTCATAGATGCATAGTGCCTAGAGGCACAAGAAGCTCACAGATAATAAACAACGATTTGTGACACATCCAATAAACATTAATTTTCCCAAAACTTTAGCAATGAGGAGATAAGGTTGCCTAGAAGCATCTTGTGCCCTTTCCAAATATCAAATTCAGTTTTATGGAAACCTCTGTAAAAAAGGCAAGGAAAATTTAAGGAACAGGACAATCCCATAAAAATAATTGTTTTTTTCAATTATTACTACTTACATCCGAGATGGCTTTGCATATTGTTTTCACCCTTGCCCCAGCCATCAGCAGAGATGCAAGCTCAGGAAGTCTCAAAAATGGGAACTCAAGTGCAAAAAACAACCAATATAGGACCTAATTTACAGCACTGATCTATTTGGCACATCACACTAAATTACACCAGTACCCTACATATGGGATGCATTCTGCATGAGTCTTTATCATACTGCACATAAGTACTTTTCTCCTAATTATACATTATTTGGACAAATCCACTGTATAAAGCAGACCTTTTTTTTACATATTGCTTCCTTTTACAGCAGGGGGTTTTGCATACTGAATTGGACAGATTCTGACAGATTCTGAATTCAGTTCCAGGAAGGTCAAAACAATCCCTGGAATCTTAAGGATGGAAAAAAAAAGGGGTAGAAAATAGGCAGCTTTTATATACATATTTCTCCTCTCCCTTATTAGAAACCTATCCAAAAACATAAACTCAAAGGAACAAAAAATTCCTGCTCAAAAGCCTTTTCAAACTCCCCAACCTTGTTCTTCAGCCCTAAGTACATAGCAAATTTCAAGAGAATTTGAATCCACACATAGATTTTACAAAAGTTTTGTCATCCCTCCCACTTCAATATAGTAAAAAGCACAAAGCATTGATTGCTGCTGTTACAGAAGGGAAGTGTTCCGATGGATGCAGGGAATGGATCTGTGTGGAAATGAATTTACCTGTCTAGTCTGCCTAGAACCCAATCAGTCAGGGAAGCATGGATTTTTGACAGACTAAAACAGTCATGGAATCATGCCCTAATTACTCTTTACCTTTATTATAGCTCACCTGGAGCTTTTCTACAACTACATTGTTCTGTGATTTTCTTAGAAATTTAAAAGCAGCTGGATAAGTTTAAACTGCATTAGACAGAGAAAACTAGACAAGTGCCCCGAGAAAATACTAGGAATACAAAATAGAAAGGAAGTTATATATATATGTAAAGCTGTACACTTTGTTCCTTCTGCATTATATTACAGGGAACTATACTATTCAAGGAAAGTTTTTAGGATTAGAAATTCCAAGAAAATAAGTTAATGATGGAAATAAATTATATGGTCTAAACAAGATATAATTTATTATGAATTTTACAGGGTTTATGTTACCTGATGAGAGGCTAATCAAATCAAACACAAATGGTGGTGATTCAAAAGGGCAATGACAGTTGATAAGTAACATCATCAACAGAAGCCACTGGATTTGCTGCTTCTAAGATGACTGAGAGAGGTTGCTGCAGTCATTATTTCTGATGGGAAATAATGACTTCGTAGGTTTACCAAGAAGCTTCAATGACAAATCTTCCTTTCCAGGATGCCCTGCTTTTTCAGGGTGATTCCTGCCTAAAAGGCTAGCAGGCTGGTGCAGGATAGTTAATTTTGCTGGCGGGCAGAAACTTGGAACAGTAAAACACTATGGTATATCTTAAGGGCATTGTGGGTATGTGGAAAACTTGCATGACATTTAGGGGACAGGACACAGGAGAGGAAAGGAAGGCATAAATGTGGATCAGAGATGTACAATTATAGGTAAATGGTGGCGAGAAGGGATGAAAGGCAATGGATGCAGGTGAATACTTTACTAAATGAGTCTATTGCATATTGTTATTAAATTCTATCTCTAACCATCCTCTGTGTAAGTGCAGTCCTTACTCTCAGCCTGCATGTGTGTGAATGGTAGCACACTTCATGCTGGACTAGATGGCAAGGGGCACGGGAGAGAGATCACGTAGGTGAGGCAACAGATGAGTGGGTGTCAGTAGCTGAACTGTCTCAGACCAGTCCCTGAGGAGACCCACAGGGGTGTGGGGAAGTGTGTGTGTAACCATAAAGAAAATTCAAAAAGTACTGGTTAGCAAGTAGGAGCTCTACATTTGGAAATACCCAAGGTTTGTGCTAGTCACTTTGTAAAGGGAGCAGTGCCTGGGCATGGATATTGCATTGACTAAAATTACACATGCCAGATCCACGAGTAAAAGTGTGCCTGTGGATGATGACAGTCAGGAAGTGTATATTCCATCAATCCTGATCCTCCAGAAAGAAGGAACTAGACAATCAGTGTAGCTCATGTTTAGGTGAGTGCTGTGTGTTGTTACGTGGGTGCTGTTCTGTCCATGGATCTCTGTGATTGGTCCTCTGTGTATGGTATATGCCCATTTTCCTATTGGGAACACATTCCCAACCCCACTATAGGTTGCATCTTGGACTTCAGTGGGAGTGGGACAGGAGGATCCCCTCCCTGGGTTTTAAATTCTATCAGATTTTGCTTCAGTGGGTTAGGTAGGAGCACTTCCCAGCTCCTGAACTCCACTGGACCAAACAAACTCTAGCAGCCCTTACTTTCAATTTCAAAATGCAAAACAATATTGGAATAAAGGTGCTTTTGTGTTTTAGTGGTGCTACACAATGTAAATTGAGTTTTCTCTACTCATATAAACAATTTGTGTTATGTTAACTCTGAGGATAAAATTAACTTTCACACAGAAAAATCTCTGCTGAACATCAGTATCTAAATACAAGACTGTTGGCATCAAATGATGGTGACTTTTCAAACTTTTCTACTTTAACATCAATGCTTCCAATTTTTAAATTTGAACTTTCTTCATATTTGAAAGTAATAGTTGAAAAAAAATTACAGTATAGAATTGCTGAGACTACTTAGCAATGCCCACGCTGAGAACAGCATGTATTGCTGACAACTTGCTTTGTTTTCAAAGTACCTGGAAAACAGGTACAGAATTATATAACTTCTGTACTAAAACACCTTGCAATAATTCCAATTTTTCTTTGCTCACAAGATTTTTGAACAATATCACCTGACCTTCCTTTTATCAAGGAAGAACTTATTGGAAATTATTGAACAGATTTTCTACATTTCTTTAAAAAAAAGTTTCCCTGCTACCATTAAGGGAAAAAAAAAAAAAAAAGGAGCAACCTTATCACTTAGAAAAGGTCTGGGGAACAACATAAATTTCAGGAAGTAATATATCATTCAGACAATGTGATTAATCAGTGAAGAGATTCTATTATTTCCATTGCTCTTGCTAAAATTACAAGACACTGATGGATCTAACCAGAAGAACAATGTGAGTTATGTTAAGAGTGCAACTTTTAAAATGAAGTTCTAGGTAGTTATTTCCACTTGTAAAACAAAAGCACAGCAGAGTGATGTATCTCTTACCAGTCTGTTTAATGCACAGCCCTGAGTTCTGGAGAGGGAAGATCCCTGTTTATTTGGCACATCTGCCCTGCCCACTTTATTTGTTAAGCCAGTGAGAGTCCTGAAAGAAAAACTTGTGACAAAACCCTAAAAACCTTTAAGCCATTGAGTAGATATTCTTTGGAAAACACGAAAGAATACATTGTTGAATAATAATGCTCTGTGTCAATAACAAATCTGCTGAACTTCACTTTTGAGCTGTTCAGATCCAGCCCATATGTAGTACTACTGCAGCAGTTCAGTACGGCTGAAAATGTGGGGAATCCCTGGAAGCACAACTGGAGAGGTGGGGGTAATCATTAAAACCACTCTTAACAGCAGACTTAGGCAGATTTATTTTGCTGATTCCATCATACATTTTTGTGGTAAATGTTATGTCTCCTTTGCAATTTTCTGAATAAAATGGAGAATGAGATTAAAGAAAGAATGCCATTGAAAGCATGCAAGTAGGATAAAACATCAGATCTCAGTAGCATTAGAGAGTATCCCAGTGTTTATTTTAAGTGGAGCTTGCAGAATATGGTTCAGTGTTTATAACTTACTAACTAGAAATAATAGGTATTTGCAGTATGAGAAGTGACTAATGTATTACCTTTCATCTGAACACATTAAATCTGATATGACAGCACAGCATGATAATGAGTAATAACCTATTCTGAATATTCAGGACATTAACTATATCATGTGTTGTCTTTGCACACACAAAAACCTACTTCAGCATTTAAAGATGAATGCTGTCTTTCTGAGTGGGATCAAGGAACTGGTACGAGAACTAATT